AACGGGGGCAGATACACCAAGACTCAGGCATGGATATACAATGGGAATTATTTCACAGTTTAAACAAAACAGTAACGTCTGTTCTATGTAAACATTATTATAAAAATCCAGTTCCAAACGAAACCTACAGCACAGGAATTATAGGATTATTATCCATGCGATGTAACATTATAAATCATAATACACAGGAGCACATCAGAACAGAATGCTGCTTAGGAAGAAGTATTCTTGTGTTCTTGCATTATTTCCTGCAGTTTATGTTCCCATTAGATTAAGTGAGCCTAGGTTTCTTTGGCCTTAAATACTACTGGAAGTAGGAATACTCAGAGGAGTATCTTGGAAAAGTTTTTGAATTCGTGCAGGATTAAAAACTAAAGGTGGAGGTAGTATGTGACCAGGATGTGCTTCCTAGTGTATCTCCTTAAATAGAGCTATATGTGTAGGAAAAAAGTACTGAATTTAGAATAATAATAATAATACTGTACTTAAGAATAATACTGCACTGAATCCCCATGATCCAAATAATTGTCATAGTTGTTTGGGCACATGTAAAATCAAGAAAGACTTATCTGGGTGTGGAATTGTATACCAGGAATACTGCAGAAAATAGGTTTTCAAAAATTGGATTTCTGCTTAAAAGGCCCGAGACAGTTGTTCCCTGTCCCTAAAATGTCTGAAACACCTTTCGTTTGCAGCGTGAAGGGGACTTTCTTTTGGGGTTTAATCTTATGGGAACGTGTTCATTCTAGCTTCTTGTTTTTGATGGGAAATTAACTGATTGAGACCATTGCCTGTATATGTAATCAAACCCAGAAATAAGCAAGAAAACTGCACCTCTGGTCCCGTCAGGCTGTGGTCTTGTCATTACAGGAGAGGAATGGAATGGCGAGAGTCTGGGAAATGGAGACTTATAAGGGAGACATTATCCCGGAGAAAAACGATTGTCGTCGTCCAATGGGAAAAGCGGGTTGGTACTCTCTTCCCAGCATGCCAGTGTTGTCGGCGCAGAGCTTCTAATCACCACTAGGGGCAAAATAAAAATAAAAATTGTTTGCTTGCAGTTTACAGTGAAAAACTTTGTAGAATGAGCTTTAAATGGAAATATGGCATTCATTACAGAAAACTCCTGCAGTGGTTTTGATAAAATCACATCACATTTGTTAGGATATTTTTGGGACAGCAGAAATATTTACAACTAAGCATTAGCACCATACACATGTGCAACAGCAGAGTTGATAAGCATGCTTTTTGGGTGACGTACCTTTGAACTGGAGCTAGAAACATTCACATCCTCAGCTGATGCCTAAGGGTCTGTGGGCAAGACAAAAACAACAGGAAATGATCCATGCTTTAATCCATGCTTGGGTTAAAAGGGAAACAAAAAAACATTCATTTTCAATTCTTCAAACATTTCATCTTTAGTTCTTACCTCATCGACAACAGAATTGTGATGCTTGTTTCTGATTTCAGTTTTATGGTTATTTAACCATTTATGTACCACAAATAACATGAAATGTCCACATCCGTTGTTTTTCTACAGAATGCATAACAATTCTGAACATACGAGCTCACATTTTTTACATGGAATGACTAAGAAATTAACACTGAACGTGTCGATTTACCTTTAACTTTTGGGGAAGGGACACTTGCGGTTATCGGAGCAATCGGCAGGACCTTTGGTTTCTTCGGTTCCTTAGGTGCGTCCTCTAGAACAACCACTATGTACTCCTTCGCAGGGGTCCGTTTGGGCTCCGCGGTCTCCGTTCCCATAAGATGTGCCTGGACCTTCTCTGTGGCTTTCTGGGCCACCTCTTCTGCCAGCACTGTTGTATTCAGGACAGGCTTAGAATTCTCCACGATGGGACAATCTTCATCTTTAGTTTCCGCTGCCTCCATTATTAGGTTGGCCTCACTCTTCATGGCTTCAAGATTACTCTGCACCTCCACATCTGGAGATATTTCAGCTTCCACAACTTGAGAAAACTCATCTTTTGATGATAAAGTTTCTTCTGTCAGATTGATTGGACTTGCTGCTGCTGGTTTATTCTCTGGAATATTTTCTGGTGGATGTATAGAAGAATCTAGAGTCTCTGATTTTACTTCGTTCAATGTAATGGATTCTGTAGGAGCTTCTGCTGGTTCTTCCTCAAGAGAGGCTACTAGTCCTTCAGCTGCTGAGTCTGGCGCTGGTTCTTCCTCCTCAGAAGATAGAGCTTCTTCAGTGGAGGAGAACATTTCTAACTCTGCAACAACAGCAGCTGCAGAATCTTTGGCTTCTGTTCCATTTCCTGCTTCCTCCTCCAAAGTTGCTAATGGTCCTTCAGCTGATGAGTCAGGTGCTGGTTCCACCTTATATGTGAAAACTACTGGTTCCTCAGTCACAATGACTATAGATTCTTTGGCTTCTGATGTATCTACCATCTCATAATCCACACTGACTTCCGATCCTTCAGCTGTTGAGTCTGGTGCTGGTCCTTCCTCATAAGTTGATGCAGGTTCTTCAGCAGATGAGAAAACGTCTGGTTCTTCAACAACAGTGGCTGCAGAATCTTTGGCTTTTGTTGCATCTCCTGCTTCCTCCTCCACAGTTGCAACTGGTTCTTCAGCTGTTGAGTCAGGTGCTGGTTCCTTCTTAGAAGTAGATATAGGTTCCACATTGGATATGAAAACTTCTGGGTCTTCAACAGTAGCGGCGGTAGATTCTTTGACTTCTGTGGTATCTACTGCCTCCTTCACATTGACTTCAGATCCTTTGGCTGTTGTGTCAGCTGCCGGTTCCTCAAAAGGTACAGGTTCTCCAACCACTGATTCCTCCTCTATAGCTGCAGTACTGGCCGTTTCCTCCACCAAGGACATCTCTGCTATTGACTCTGTTGACGCTTCCTTAGCCTCTGGTACTAGCTGGAGCACCACAGACTTCTCTTCATCTGCTTCTGTAGACGCTGTGGGTGTATCATCAGCTAACACAACGCTCTCTCGTTCTGATACAACCCCCATTACGGCTTGCGTCTCCATTAAATCCTTGCGATTAGCTTCTGGCCCAGTAGCTGTTCCCAGCTGATTCTGCTTCGGTTCCTCAGCCTTCTCCTCCATGATCTCTCCAGCCACATCCTCCAACATTTCTGCCTCCACACCCACACAGGAAACTGGCATTCCAACACTCTCAGCTGCCTCCACCTCTGACACTGTTTCAATGGCACTGAGCACGGCCGGTGTCCGCGCTGAAACAGACAGTTAATACCCTAGAAATCAGTAATCTTCCATTAGCACAAATAGTCTGACAATATAAAAAAAATCTGTGAATAGAATTTATCGTTTGGGGTTTGGATTTTTTTAGCAATGTATTTATCATCGTAAGAGATAAAATAACCATTTCTATTACCAGTTAAGAAGGAATGCACTATTTACATGACAGCCAGTTTGTAATTCATAATTTTTTTTTTCTTCTATGCGTGCAACATTTAACGTCCAATATAAAGTGGCTGATAACATGCAGAGATACTTTAACACGACTACATTTAAGGGGAATGTTTCTTGATTAAAAATGAGTAAGTAAGTAAATAAGTCATTAAGTAAAAAAAAAATGAAAGGATGAAATGACTAGAATGGACAAGATCAATAGCTCCATAATTAAAATGGGTCATACCCCAAGCCATTAATGTAAAGTACAAATTACAAAAACCCCTTCAGAATGAAGACCCACTTAATCACAAATATATATTTTTTCCAGTCCAGTTCTAATGATGATGAAAGTGCTGGGGTGCCCGTTTAGCCAAACAGTGCTGACCCATGACCTTTTGTCTGTCTGTTTCTCAAGGCTAGAGCCCTCTAGGAGGTATTCACCATGTGACACACATCCAGGTACTCAGGAGTTCCTTACACCTGGCTTCATGTAGGATAAACATCACCTATATCTTGAAGACAGGATCTTATAAACACGCACCAACAGATTATGTCACTGGGGATAAGGAGGTCCGTCGAAGAACTTAAATTGGAGATATTCCAAAGATACTAAACTTGCCAGAAACAGCACAAACCCAATAAATTGTTCCCTTACACTCGTGCTTTGTTGATAAAGCTTTTTCAGGAGGAAGTTCTAAACATTTCAGGTGGAACGGTTCAACTTTGACCTGAGCTGCGTGACATGTGTGATGCAATGGGGTGGGGGGGGGGATAGTTTTTCAGGCAGGAGATGAGGTTCTAGTAAAGGCAGACACGACAGTTGTGAAGTGGTGAAGGTTTAGGAGGAAAAGAATGAAAAGTGGAGGTCATGGCTATGTGGCAACTAAAGAGAACAAGCATGAACAGCCACTTTCATAAGCGCAGCAGTGATTGAGACTGACGATACCAGCCAGCGCCAACCACAAGAACCCAAAACAGATGAGAAGATAGATGGTGTAAATTTGGTTAAACAAGTTGTGTTTAAAGCTCTAACGTCACTCGATGCCAAGCAAATGCCTGCAGCCATGTAACACATGTTGAAGCTGCTTCAATAGAACCATTCTACATTCTAGCATGTTCCAATGTCATGTCCTTTGGAACAGAAAACCTAATAGTCAGACCTGCATTCAGTTCCACTTTTGAAATATGGGATTGTGTTTAATAAAGCAAAGCATAAAATAAAAACCTGAATTATAGCAAAGGACACCAAAAAGGAAGAACCTGTTAATTCCAACAATGGTAAAAAAAAAAAAGTGTTACACAGATGTAATTGTTTAACAGAACACATATGAAATCAATTCAGCGGAGACAACTCACCATTAGAGGTCTTTAGTTTGCATAAGCAACAGAATACACAAAATGCTGTATATAATACAGTTAGAGAAAGATGCTTAATAGGATCTTTTGTGACCGAACTAGAACCATAGGCCCAGAGCATTTTTAGCTGGAACAGATGAAAGTTAAAATGCAGCTCCATCCCCTAATAACATGCAAGAACATTAAATGGAACAAACCTCTTGCCAAATATCACAAGAAATTACAAACACTCAAAAAACAATAATTTAAGATTTTTCATACCATTTGGAGAGATTAAGCCCAATATTAAGGAACATTTTTTTTCTCTATAAAATAGAAAACGAATTTCCACCTGTTATATCGTGATTATGCCAAAAAAAACTGGTATACCAAATTAGATGCCACACCCCTTAAAATCTGGAATGTACCACTTTCAGAGGCAGACCAAACTAGAAGCAATTAAACACAGAAGATTTTGTTGCCAATTCCTTTATTGCATGGATGGAAGAAATGTAACAGTTTTTGGTTTTTTTCTTTCCTTTTCCCGGTTATGATTTATGCTATAAATTCCATGTCCAATGTTGTGGTTTTAATGGTATCTTCCAGTACTCGCGCACACAATCCCCATCGACCTCTACAAACACTTTTTACAATTCATGTGAAATGAAGGACAGAACGGACATGGAAGTTACTCAGCACACTTTCAGGGTTTTACATAATGCAGAGTAATTGCTTAGCGATATCTGGCAGAGGAGTGAACGGAAGCTGGCCCAGGCATGCCCATTAGTGACCATCAGCATACTGCTATAGCCATGGTTACAGAGGCACTATGTTTGGTTTCAAGGGAGGTAGAGAGAGTCGCGTGAATCGTCAACAGGTTTCATAATATGAGCCACGTATGAGGATTTAAAAAAAAAAGCCAGATTTTACAATAAGACAGAAATATATTCCTACTCATACTGCAGAAGTAGGTCTGATATGGAGAGGTGCTCCATGTTGGCCTGTATTGGACCTACAGCTTATTCTAGGTGGCTGGTAAGTCATCTGTGAGGAACCACAGAGTTAAATACCTAACGAACACTTCTGTGATGCTACGGTTCTCTACAGGTGACGACTACAGAGCCATCGTACGTTTTCCTTGCAAAACGGATCAATTCACTTGCTGCACGGCCTTCAGAGAGAAAAACAGCAAATCGCCTTTACATCCTGCATACCTTTCCAACCTGCCTGTGACCTAATAAAGGATATGACAGATAGAATTCTAATTTTAAAATGATAGTCGTTTTATGGTGTACAATATGGTTTAGTGAAAACAGGAAGTGCCTTTCTGTTGTGTGCTGTTAGCCCTCTTCCTCAGAGGACCCGGGGTCAGGAGAGCCGAGGCGGTCCTCCGGCACTGCCTGAGCGTGTGGGGCCATACCATCGCTCTCAGTAGAGGCTGGTGCCTCCTCCATGGCCTCTGCTAGTGCCGCCTCCAGATCTGCCCCTGAAGGCTCGTTGACAGTTTCCACAGAGACTGGCTCCGCCTCTACCAATGCTGGCTCCGCCTCCACCACTTCTGAGCCATCTGCAGCCTCTAGAGGAGCCTCGACAGCTGCAGCCTCCTCAGCAGGTGTTTCTTCTCCTTCATCTCCTCCTGCCTCTTCTGCCTCAGATTCTGAAAAGGCAACATTTTTAAAAAGCAGAGACTCAGCAACACCTCTCAGCAGGCACCCACGCGCATGCCGATTCCATGGACTTAACATGCGGTAAGACCCGAGCATAGCTGCCATGATGCTAAGTCACGTTAGCATCCAGCTAAGAGTCAAGATTAATTTTAAGCTGCTAAATCGAAATACATTTGCAGAGCAATACTTTTTCATAACTGCTTCACAGTGCCAGATATATACCTTCAGCACCACATGCTCAACAACAATTCTCATTTTCGAAACTAGATTTCCGTTTATACAAGCGCAAACACAAGTGGGACGTCTGGGCCGGATGGCCGAGACCCGTCAGGCATGCAGGGTGTTTTATCTGGACACTTATTCTCCTCCAGGGGGCTCTTTGGCTGGTGGGGGAAACACTTAAGTGACACGAGCAAAAAGAGAAGTAGGTCTTATGAAGCGCATGCAAACTCAAAGGATGTAAGTGATTCTGAGTGAGGGGTGGAGTGAACAAGGACAGAAAGGACGAGAGCAGAGGTTGTGACCAGTCTGAAAACAGCGCAACTCTACACAATCAACATAAACACCAATAAGCAGCTGGTTTAAGCACCATTTCATGCCAAAAAAAATACCAAGCTCCACGCTGCCAAGCTTGACAATGTCGGGACACAATAAATAAACTACAAAATGATGGATTGAATCATACAGTTCAAATGAAATTAACTAAAACTTACACTGAACTAAAGAGAAGTTTAAATTTAAAGGCAGAATCTTTCGTTCAAATAGAGATGCCCCTTTCATCCGAAAGGGCAGTTTAAAATCGCTGAAGGCTAGAAACCGCGGCTTCTTATTCTGAAAAGAACAACAAAGAAGAAATTAGCAAGAGTCAGCAGAAGAAACCCTGTTTGGCCACGAGGCCGACGCGGCGATTGCCGAGCACCCAGGTCTGTGTCGCTTGAAAGCAACAGTAACAGACAGCGTCCGATCAATGTAGATCTTTAGGGTTACGTCTCCAGCAGACCCATCGGTGTCAGGGATTCTCAGCTTTTTGAGAGGGGCAGGTCAAAGGAGAGGGAAAGGGGGAAAGGAGGAATGCTGATTAAAAGAAGGCATGTCGAATTACCCCCATCTGCTATACTAATATATTTACATTGGAAAACTAACATTAAAATACCTTAAATCTCATATGTTTAGAGGTAGAAAAAAGGATAGGAACATGCGCTGATTACAGTGCGTTGCCACACAACAAAACCATGTCATTGGTCGCACAACAGGCTGCATTTGGATGCTTTTAAGTTCAAAAGGAAACCCCAAAACTAGAGCAGCACTCACCAGCATCATCTCCTCCTGAAACAAAGGGAAGACAGAGAATACGCACCTTAACCCAGAAACACAAGCACAGCCTGGATGAACAGATTCTCTTGTCTTGCATGGTTACAATTTGTCAGTCAACTACGCTTTAAAAAAATTTAAACAACC